CGTAGACTTACCGCTATGCCACGTGGGGGGGGCGATATATATATATATATATATATATATATAGATAGATAGATAGATAGATAGACAAAAAGCGCAAAAATAATTACACATCATGCGGTTCTATTATTCGTCGCTTCTCAACATAATTAAAAGAAAGTCTTCCATCTATATTATAGTGGTCATTTGGAAAGGCTGTTTGAACTCCTGAAAGAAGTAATCTTCAGCTAGTTGATCTGATGAAGAGTAGAGATCACAAAAAAAGATTCATTACAGTTTAATTATTCATATAAAATATTTTTCCTCAATAAATCTATGAATTATATCATTTCCAAAAGAACTCCAGTTGAAAAGGCTGTGGGCTGTACACAATAATATGTTCACTATCGTGAAAAAAACTACTGTTTGCGATATACTAATATATAGAATATTCTCGAGACAAAATTAATAATATCCTGAAATGATTTGGTATTTCAATGTCTTCACAAGAAGGAAAAAAAGCTGCGTTGCGTGTAAAGTATTTCAAAGGAGGGTGATCTTATCCCATATAAAATGGATGAAACTTTTGTAGTTATTAAACAAATATCACATTTTATTGTATAGATTGTGCTTAATAGTTCAAGTGGCAACGATGGCATTGGTTTAAGCCTAGAATGTCTAAATATGTGTGCTAGATATAAAACGTAAAGGATTGTGCTTGAAAACAATGTAATATGCTGCATATATATTGTCGAAAGCAAGGACGATGAGTTATACATATATGTGTGTGTGCTTGTATGTAGAAATAAGCGTATTATAGGGTCTTAGGTTTTAATCCCTGCCCCCAAAATGACATTCTGTGGGCGCAGCCATATTGGATTTGGATTGCATCTCTTTGACGGTGAGGGAGATCCTGAAAAGACTATGACTTATGATGATGAGTCAAAGAAAGACAAACCCTGATCTTTTACATCAAGTAAGATGACGGCTGTTTAATAATGAAATAATTTAATTTTTATTTCGGACTTTGGTTACAAATTAATTTGTTTCTTGGCAACCTCACTGCTCCACTAAGTGGCTCCAACGAATTTTACTAACCATTTGTTTGTTAAGGCGATACAATATGAACTAATTTTATGATTTTTTATCACTTGATAAGACTTGGAAATCCATGACTTAGTTTTTCATCAGTCAGGTATATCTTACATGATAATTTTGATTTCAATACATTAGAAAACCTTTTGTTATATCATTGATTGGCTGTTGGTGAATGTGCCCTTGAGGTCAATGAAGGTGACACAATCTGATTAGTTCTATAGATTAAAACCATGAATATTGATCATGTTAATATATTAATTGTAGATTAAACATTTTTGATTAATTTCCCTAATACATGATTGCCACTTAATTGTATTAATTTACGACGGTTATTATTTTCTCTCACGTCTCTTTGAATATAACTTAATTAATTTATAATTATTTAACATTATATCGAGTACATAGTGACATAAAATATGCAGCGACTTAAATTTCATGTGTATTCATGTGGCTTATACATCAATGTGTACAAATCTGTCCTTTTTTGTAGAGGAAAAGTGATTTATTTATATAGAATAAAACATTTTTTGACAGTTTCTCTCCTCTTTTAAGTTCATTAAAATACAATATTTCAGATCTTTAATTCTGCATTCAGACTATTTGTTTTTGTTGTTTATAATGCAAGACTACACATAGAACTTCTGCATTGTGTCTGACGCGTGAATCGAACCCCTAACTTTAATATTATAAGATGAGTTATTGGGGAATTAAATCAAACTAGGAGCTAATGACTACTCACACAGTTGACCAAAGGATAATAACAGTCCTTAAACAAGAGGGAATCCTCAATATCCACGGTTGTAATTGGATCTCAAATCGATCAAGAGATGGCGCTATGAGCTAAAAGTTTGTACTTGAAAATACTCAGAGCCATTCTACGAGCCGTTATACGGTGGCTATAAATAGCCTGTCTGTAACTCACATAACTGACCAGTGGATATCCCGTAATCTAGTCCTAATTAATCCAGTATAACATTATAGGCATTTATACATACATCAACTACTTCTGTTTGTGTATTTGTGATTTCGAATATTTAATAATATGTCAGTTTTGCATGTCAAAACAAAATAGAAATATGAAAATGTATTTCTTTAAGTCCTAAAAACTTCATCGTAATCATAGAATTTTTAAATAAACAATAATAACAAGTTTAAGCAATATTTATACGCTGTTCATCAAACACAGAGTTTGTACGTGATTTTTCAATTTAATTTCTTTGGAAATCCACGGTTTTCTAAATTTATTTACAAACATTACATTCTGGTATACAGCACAAATCTTATGTTATTATATCGGCTTTACTACATGGAGTTCATTAAAACATAAACTATTTTATTATAATAAGCTTAAAGTAGATATTGAAGATCAGAGTATGATGAT